CTAGAAGTATTAATCGTAGAGATATGAAATGATATTTGAAAGTGTTAAGAATACTAATCTTGCTTTTAGAAAATGAACTTTCTTCTTGCTTTTTGCAAAAGTAGGACGTGTCTCTTCATTCCTAGTTACGCTCCCGTATTGCGGGAATGTGTAACACAACACAAACTACTACTGTAATGTGGCCAAAACTGCTCGTTGAAACTAGTAAAAAACAGCCGCGTACCGATTGGCTCTGTGCAAGACTGTCCCTGTTCCAGATGAATTGCGGCCAGTTTAAAATACAAAATCAAAAGATTAAGTTTTCGCGTCGAAGTAAAGTTTTAAATTTTTGAGGGGATTTGGTGGCTCCTGAAATAGCTCTTTTGTATAACGGTGACGCAGTTGCTGTTCTGATAGACGGAGAAGTGTACGCGCATCGAAAAGAAGAACGTGTTGCTCGACAATTTGGTATCACTGATCTTCGGCATCCAACCATAAAACAGATTTTAGCAAGCGGAAATTGGTTGCTTGGTGGTAATTTGCAGGTAAATTGTCTCAGCATAGCAATTTTTTGTTTTCGAATTTTGAAAGAATCCTGCGTTTTAGGCAGAAGAAGACGAATTTCACACTAATGCCGTGGTACTTGGTTATTCGCACATTCGCTCAGACTGCCGGTAGTAAATGCCCGCTTTAAGCTAAATGCAGCCGTATGTCAGCTGCTACTGTGCCAGTTCTCTCCTCTTCACTAGGGTTTCTTATTTCTAGCTTTTACGGTCCGCTTTCTTCATGCACTCGCGAAGTCGCTTCGAAAAGCCATTTTTCTTGCAAATGCTATGCACACATACGCCTCGTGCACGGTTATCAGTAAAGCAAGCAGCACATCTTGCCCATCAGATTCTACTTTCTCACGCGAGCCTGGCGACTGTTATGAGTAGCGCAGCCATCAGCATATTACAATATATAAATTAGCTCACTATCATTGAAATTATACAGATCTTTTTTAGATTCATTAAACTTTTATGAGTCATTTTAGGTGTTAAAAAAGATTCGATACAACGACGGTCTCGATCGCTTCAGGCTATCACCGCTAGAACTGCGAAATGTTTTTGCAAAGGCCAACTGCGACGCTGTTTTTGCTTTTCAACTGCGAAATCCAATTCATAATGGACATGCACTTCTAATGCAGGATACCAGAAGACAGTTGCTGCAAAAGTATAAGAATCCTATGTTGCTGCTCCATCCTTTAGGCGGCTGGACTAAGGTTGAATTTTTATTCTTTCCTTATTTGTTAAGCACACAAAATTGATCTCTCAATAGTCTGATGAAATCTGTCTTTTGACTTTTA